GTACCTACCTATATAGTTTAAGTTTGAAAAAGTTGGCTCTCAAAAGAAATTTCAATCGTTGTACTGTTGATATTTGGCTCTGTTGACTAATGAGTTTGCCGACCGACCACTGCCCTACACTATTAAATAGGAATTTTTTATTGTTACATATTATATGTATTGCTGCATGAGAACATTATCCATTCCTCCAATTTAAGTGACAGATCAGAAACAGAAAGATGGTATGTTTCTTCATCCCATGATTGCTTCTCTACTATTTTTGAGAGATTCCACTGACCAGGTGTTTTGTTTTTCTTTTTCTGAAAACAAAACAAAACCTTAAAATATAGCCTTAACTCCTGCAGACTACACTATCATCTATAGTACAAAATTCTGGGGTTTACAAGTTTATTGTAATCAGCTTAGATGATTGTTGCCCCTATTTCATTTGCCATTTTGAAAGAGCCTTGTTTGAGAAAAAAAATAAGTGGTCATTTCTGTGATATTGAATGTTTTTGAAAAGAATAAAATTACTCTTAAATTCCTTTTTCTTTCCCACTTACCCTAAGGAAGCCAAAGGAGTCCAGCAGGTGGGTGTCCACAATGTGGTTCACTTCCTTACCAAAACCACTTGGGCCCAGCATTATTTAGAGTGATGGGGAGGGAGAAAATAGAAACTCAGAAGACCACAGTGGTGGGAACAGAACACTACCAGAGAGAGATCTTGGCAGGATGGGGTGTAAAAATATCATGTGAAGAGTGCGGAACTTTCCAAGATTAAATTGTGGTTATGAGGAGAGAGCCCTCTTGAGAAGTCAGCAGTGGCTGTACTGGTTTTCTGGGGGCAGTCCCAGTTTTTAGATCAACACCTGTTCATTATTTTAGTGTCTCCTTTCGCTTTAAAAAAAAAGTCTCAGTTTAGATAAGTTATATGGCCAGCCCATATTTAAACTCAAGTAGATTTTCATATGTTTAAATTGCTGGTGGTCTAAAGCAACTATATGTACACAGTCCTATTCAGTTTGATTTTTGAGATTGAATTGGGTAATCAGAGTTACTACAAAGCAAGTCAGTCAAGATGACCCTTAATGTAGGAAATCACTCCCAGGCCATGTTTAGGTCTGACACACATATAAAAAAATTTTTTAATTAAAAAAAAAGAAAAAGAAACCAGCCCGCCGTTGAGCATCAACCCAGGAACCAAGAGGTCACTGGTTTGATTCCTGGTCAGGGCACATGCCAGGGTTACAAACTCAATCCCCAGTAAGAGGCAGTCCATCTATGTTTCTATCTCTATTTCTCTCCTCTCTCTAAAAAGCAATAAAAACATTTAAAAAAACAAAACAGCCCTAGCCGGTTTGGCTCAGTGGATAGAGCTTCGACCTGCATACTGAAGGGTCCCGGGTTCAATTCCGGTCAAGGGCACATGCCCGGGTTGTGGGCTCGATTCCCATTAGGGAGGCATGCAGGCAGTAGTGATCAATGATTCTCATCATTGATGTTTCTATCCCTCTCCTTCCTCTCTGAAATCAATAAAAATATATTTATTAAATAATTAAAAATAAAAAACAAAAACCAACTGCCCTGACCGGGTAGCTCGGTTGGAGTGTTGTCCTCATATGTCAAGGTTGGGGGTTCAATCCCTGGGTAGGGAAAATTCTAGAATCAACTAATGGATGTATAAATAAGTGAAACAATTAAATCGATGTTTCTCTTTCCCTCCTCCCTCTAAAGTCAATAAATTAAATGTCCTGCCTGGTGTGGCTCAGTTGGTTGAGCATAGTCCTGTGCAACGAAAGGTCACCGGTTTGATTCCCAGTCAGGGCACATACCTGGGTTGTATGTTCCATCCCTGGTCAGGGCGCATGGGGGAGGCAACCAATCAATGTTTCTCTCTCTTCCCCTCTAAAATCAATAAAAACATTTTTCATAAATCTTAAAATGATTCATTTGTGGCAACATTTCTATTTAGAATATTTGCAAATTTTACAAATTTGAGGGGCAAGGAGAATAAACTTTTCAACCACAGATGAGACTTTCCATTTTAAAACTATGGAAGCCTGGCCAGCGTGGATCAGTTGAGCATTGACCTATGAACCAGGAGGTCACAGTTCGATTCCCGGTCAGGGCATGTGCCCAGGTTGTGGGCTTGATCCCCAGTGTGAGGTGTGCAGGAGGCAGCCAATCAATGATTCTCTCATCATTGATGTTTTTCTCTATCCCTCACCCTTCCTCTCTGAAATCAATAAAAATATATTTAAAACAAAACTTCTATGGAAGCCCTGTGTGGCTTAGCTGGTTGGAGTGTCATCCCCTACACCAAAAGGTGGTGGGTTCAATTCCCGGTCAGTGCACATATCCAGGTTGTGGGTTCAATCCCCAGTTGGGGGTGCAGAGGCAACTGATGGATGTTTCTCTCTTTAAAAAAAAAAAAAATGTATGGGCCCTAGCAGGTTTGGCTCAGTGGATAGACCAGTGATGGCGAACCTATGACACGCGTGTCAGAGGTGACATGCGAACTCATTTTTTTGGTTGATTTTTCTTTGTTAAATGGCATTTAAATATATAAAATAAATATCAAAAATATAAGTCTTTGTTTCACTATGGCTGCAAATATCAAAAAATTTCTATATGTGACACAGCACCAGAGTTAAGTTAGGGTTTTTCAAAATGCTGACACGCCAAGCTCAAAAGGTTCGCCATCACTGGGATAGAGCGTGGGCCTGAGGACTGAAGGGTCCCAGGTTCAATTGTGGTCAAGGGCACGTACCTCGGTTGGTCGAGGTGTGTGCAGGAGGCAGCCGATCAATGTGCCTCTCTCACATCGATGTTTGTGTGTCTTCTCTTTCCCTTCCACTCTCTGAAAATTAATGGAAAAACATCTTTGAGCATTAACAAAAATAAATAAAAACTTTAAAAAATGTTATGGGAAATTTAAAGAAAATAACTTGATTTCTACAGGAAGGAAAACTTCCAAATCACTTATTTGGTGGCAATTAAAGGCTGCAAATATAGAAATTGTTAAATACGGGACTGTGTAAGATACTTTGAGAGCCCCAAAGCAAATCTATAATTATGGTTCCTGTCCCTTTTACCCTGCTCTTACTCCATACTTGCTGATGCTCCTGTGCCCCCCAGGAAGTAAACTATTAAATTCTTAATCTTAATTCACAAGGACTACAATATTATGACTACATGTTAGTATTAGAACATGACTAGTGGATAATGGTTTAACTAGTTATAGTCATAGCTTTAATTTCCTTTACATGAATTCCTGACAAAAAAAAATCCAGAAATCAAGAAATGAATTTTAATACTGGACATTTTTTCAGTCAAGTTCTGGGAAAATTATTTTTCTGGATATTCCTATTAACACATTCTCATGTGCCCCTTTTCCCTCATCCTTGTGGTATTTCTAGCGGGCTAACTACACTCCAGCACTAACACCCCAACCTAGTCCTCATGTCATGTGTTTACCTTGTCTAAATTCCTCTTTCATTACTCTCCCAGCACATAGAATAGTTATTGGAAAAATAGATTTGCTTAAATTCTTTGGAACAAAGCCTACACTTTTTTTTCTTAAGTACTTTTAAATTTATTTTTAATGAATTAATTCCAGTGGAAATAATTTCAATTGATGCAGAATTTAAAATGGTTCTATGTTTCCCAGCAACAATCACACTAATCTAGGCTAATGGGAGGAGGATAGGAGAGGGAGAAGGCACAGTTTAATCAGAATTGAACTTTAAGATACAGTACAGTGAAAAAGTGTGTCTTGTATTAAAAGTGTTACAGAGGGGAGGTCCATGGTAGTTAAGAGGAATCAATGTGTATAAATGGAAGCTCCAAACCTTTTAAAAGATGTTTATCAAAAAAAAAAAAGATGTTTATCTCATTGATTTGGACTAGCTAAGACTAAAGCATTTGTGCAATTCCTGTATAATTTCCAAACTAAAGTAGTAGGGTCTTAAAGTAATGAGGTTTTTACTATAGTTACCTAATTATAGGTGAAATAATTGTGCGGTTGTACCAATTATCCCTTAAAAGATAGGAAACCCTTTGTTTTTAAATGTTTTAATTCTTTATTGTATTTAAAAAAATTTTTAAATATATTTTTATTGATTTCAGAGAGGAAGGGAGAAGGAGAGAGAGTTAGAAACATCAATGATGAGAGAGAATCACTGATCAGCTGCCTCCTGCATGCCCCCCACTGGGGATCCAGCTCCCAACCCAGGCATGTGCCCCTGGCTGGAATCGAACCTGGGACCCTTCAGTCCGCAGGCTGATGCTCCATCCACCAAGCCAAGCCAGCTAGGGCAAATGTTTTAATTCTTGATTGACAGAAAACATGAAGGATATTTGCCTCCTAACCTCAACTTATCTATGGGGAAAACCATTTAAAACAGAACACTTGCTGACTCTCGCGGGCACTCTTTATTGAGCAATTCAAGGATTGGAGAAATTACCAATTTTTTTTTTCTTGGTAAACCTATTTTTGTTTAAAGAGAGTAATTACATCTGAAAAACATGTATCGTTCAGGTAATACTTGCACAGCCATTACTCATTTCTTAAAACTTGGGTAAACTCTCTAAAGTCTAATTAGAAGAAACCATACACATTTCTTACCCCATTCCATCAACTTCTTTGACCCTTTTCTGTCTCAAGCACCTATGCAGATAGGAACTTTCCTTAATTTTCTTTGGAAGCTTAAACTATTTGGAAGTTTACCCCAGCACTACCAGATCATGCTCTCTGAGCATTGGCGTTTCAAGGCCCCTAACACATATTCTTTTATCCTTTTCTAAACACTTACGGGAAACTTCCTTATTTTTATTGATTGATTTTAGAGAAAGAGGGAGGGGGAGGAGGAGAGAGACATCAATTTGTTGTTCCACTTACATTGGTTCTTTTCTTTTTTAAAATATATTTTTATTGATTTCAGAGAGGAAGGGCGAGAAACATACAAGATCTGAGAGAATCATCATTGATTG